CCAAGTGACGCGATCCGTTTTTTGAGCCTCAGTCAAATTGTGTAGGATCCACCGAGAGCACAGCTTTTTCATACCCAAATGTTTGTGTAGTATTGATTATATTTGAATCATGCTTATACTTAAACATGCCCGAATCTCATGGTATGTCACATGCCTGTCTGTTTTGATCATACGGCGCATAGCATCGATGTTTTTGTTGTTCAAGGCAGTGGACGGGCAACCATCACGAAATTCGTCACTGAGATTCACACGACCGCGTTTGAATTCTGCAAACCAGCTATAAATAGTCGTCTTGTATGGTGCTTCATCGCCAAAAGCAGTTTGAAGCCAAGCGAAGCTCCACTGAGTGTTAAATTACACTTAAAGTAGTAGAAAAGTCATAGTACCAAAATTTTCACGAGTTAAATCCATGGTGATGTAGACAACCAATTTCTAAAATGACGCCACAATGTAAAAACAAGACGACACAAACTGTATTCTACAGCCAAAGAGTTCCATTTTCAAATGTTGTAATTACTTTTTAAATATTGTTTATGGAAGTGGCCAGTTCCGGAAACTTATAGTGCGCCCCATGTATTTCAATAATTTCTAAGCTTAATTGTACACGTGTACATAGATTGTGATGTGTATTGTATTTGAGCTAATTTAGTTTAACTTGGTTGAGTGTTTGCGACTCTATCTTTTTTGCTTTTAGAGCAAATTAAGGTTTTACTAGAATGAGTGTTTGTAACTCAATCTTTTCTTCTTTTAGACACAATACCAGAGACACAAGGCAAACATTTGTGTAATAGTGGAACTATAAACAGGATATAAAGTTTTCGGACTGTTACAAAAGTGGATCTCAATCCTATTCCGAATGGAATATTACCCTTTCAAAGATTGCGCTTCCAATCTTGCTATATACAAGTGCAGGCCGAGCATTTTGACGCGCTTACATTTAGCGGTGGAATGGCGATGATTGATAAAATCATGAAGACAATAATTTTCTTTGACAAATATCATGATATTTTTATCTGACAAGTTATCGACGCTGATTCTCTTGTGTTTTTATTATTTCGTCTTTTTAATATCTAAAAAATTCTAACTTAAAGAGAACGTTCTGCGAGTTTTTATACAGACTTTTTATAATTTATATTTTGTATTTAATATCTAGTGACGGACGAACAAGTCGTGCGCCTGATGGCAAGATACACGCCTGTCCATAACAATTGCAATGCCACTCAGAGATTTAAATCGCAAAGATCTGAGGTGCACTGACACTGCGCCCGACACCCTGAGACATAAGTTGACAAGTCCCACGTGCCTGTAATTTCACCAGCACCCTTACCCTTCAAAACTAGAAAATAGCAGCTAATATTACTGCTTTCCCTGGGCGAACTCTTTAACAAGGTGCTCTACTGCTACTAACAGTATGCTCCATGCGAGCATAGTTTGTTATTATTATTTTGGATACTAAGTAATCATACTCACTCGTACAGAGAATTCCCAGGTTCTTGGTGTGGTTTTCTGACAAAAGTTGTGACTTTCACATTTAAATCTTAAAAGCAAATACAACTTGATTTTAGATTCGAAATTTTTTGTCACTGCTAAAGTTTCTCCAGACGCCGTTAAAGGAGCTTACGGCGACATTTTATAGCTCATAAATTGACCTATCACAGTTAGAACTCCATTGTCTCCTTTAAACAAGTGGCTATAAAAATAATGGGTATATTTACCGCAGGAGGCGATCTATAAAAAGAGCGCCATTTTTAGGGACCCTCAGACGATTAGTGAACTAGTTCGCCAACTAAATATTTGATCGATTCAAACTATCGAAAACCGACTCGATATAGGATTCATTCCAGTAGCGGCAGAGCTCCTTGTGAAAAAGTTCCTCCAGGGAGGTACTATCGCCATACCTCGTTCACACTACCGCCATACCGCGTAAACACAGCGAAAACGGATGAGCAAATATAAAAAGTGGTAATTATTTATGTTTCGAAATGCGAAAAAAGAGTCAACAAGCTACAAGACTATGAAAAATGTTTAGAAACTTCTACCAAACGTTTTTCACTACACTTGATATAAATTGAAAAACATTCCGGAGTTAGCGTTAGAGCTCTTTGTGAGAGAGTTCGTCCAGGGAAGTACTGTCACTTTACTTATTTCTGCCGCTAAGCAGTAATGTGTGTATTACTGCGTGTCGGTTATGAAAGGCGCCAGTGGAATTGTAGGCAAATGGGACTTGTCAAGCTATGTCTCAGAGTGACGGTCGCAGTAGCTGTGCCCCTCGGATCTTTGAGATTCACAGCACTGAGAGTTACTGCAACTTTTTTTTATAATATCAAGTGACGGGATGAACAAGTCGTGCGCCTGTTGGTAAACAACACGCCTGTCCATAACAGTTGCAGTGCTACTCAGAGGGGCACTGCCACTTCGTCCGACACCCAGAGACTATATGAAAAGTCTCATATGCCTGTTATGAACAGGCGTGTCATTTACCACCAGGTGGGCGCATGTTCGTCCGGTCACTTGGTCTCATAAAAAAATTTAAAACAGTAAGAATATACTTTTCAAGGAAATTACAACGGAATTTATATCAAACATTTTTTTAGTAAAAGTGTCAACAATAACTCACAATATTTTTAGCGTACAAAATAACGAACAGAAAATCAAATTTCAAACAGAATGGATTAAGCTAAATCACATAAGGGCCACCGGTAATTCCGGCACGCCAGACGTGCGCTTCACCTGTTTTATTTAACGGTACCTACTAGGTATAAGATTTCGACCAAAAACACTTTTGTTACCATTTTAATAGCAAACCGATTTGTCAAACTCACAGCGTGTCTACGTTTAAGTAACTGTAAGTTCAATTAAATTTAATTTTTTTCAATTAAAATAAAATATTCCAGGATTGGTTCTACACGAGTATAAAGCGGATACAGCCTTGAACTTATAGGCTATATTACACGAGCAGTGATATTATATTTTTATTAACCGACTTTAAAAAGGAGGAGGTTCTCAATTAACCTATATGTTTTTTTTTTGTATGTATGTAACGCGATAACTCCGGTATTTGTGCACCGATTTTAATGTTTTTTTTTTTATTGGAAAGAGGGTACCTCCATAGTAGTCCTATTTAAATTTGAAGAAAATCATGCACCTCTAAGAGTGGCTGTTCACGCATGGAGGTTCATTTTTATAAATAGCGCCTAAATTTTATTATAAGGAGCAATTATTTTAATATTTGATTTTGCTAATCTCTAATTCAAGACGGTTTTCTCTCTCAATATACTTTGAGTAATGAGAACCGACTGTTAATTTCTCCTGCGTCTAGTTCCTTATAGTGGCGAACTAGGGGATGAATCCGGGTTTGCGCACTTTCCGGTAACCGATTTCGAAAAAACTTGGCAAATAGATGTAATTCCACGTACTTTTGAGGTCGGTTTTTTTAGTACTCTGTACTGAGATTATATGATATCAAGTGACAGGACGAATAAGACGTGTGCCTGTTGATAGGTACGCCTGTCCATAATAGGTGCAGTGCCACTCAGAGTTTTAAATCATAAAATCTGAGGGACACTACTACTGCGCCCCGAGTCTCATGTGCCTATAATGGTACATGGTACCTGAACAAGGTATGGTAGTAGCACTTCCTTAGACGAACTTTTTCACAATTAGCTCTACCGCTATTAGAATTAATACTATTTTGAGTCGGTCTTGGATAGTCTGAATCGCTTAAAAGTAGTTGGCGAACTAGTTCACTAATCGTCTGAGGGACTCTAAAAATGGCGCTCTCTATAAGGATCACCTCTTTCGGTAAATATACCCATTATTTTTGTAGCCAATTGTTTAAAGGAGACAACGGAGTTAAACCGTGATAGGTCAATTTATGAGCTGTAAAATGTCGCCGTAAGCTCCTTTAACGGCGTCTGTGGAAACTTTAGCATTGACAAAAAATTTGGAATCGAAAATCATTATTTGCTTTTAAGATTTAAATGTGTTTAGTTGCAGTGCCACTCAGAGCTTTAAATCACAAAGATCTGAAAGGCACTGCCACTGCGCCCGTCATCCTAAGACATAAGTTAATAAGTCCCATGTGCCTGTAATTTCACCAATATCCTTAACTCTTCAAAACCGGAACGCAGTAATGCTCACATTAGCGCTTGGCGACAGAAATAAGTAAGGTAAAACAGACGAGCTCTTTTACAAGGAGCTCTACTGCTACAACACATAACTGCTACACAATATCCAAGTTGGGGAAAGTTTGAGCATGTATGTATGGTTTCGCATCTCATCAACGTTAGTCAAACATTACTTTAACCATGAAACAAAACATCGTAACTAAATCTAAATGAAAAGGAAGAACGCTCAGTGCCATTGCAAAAAGAAACGTAAGTAAACTTACCAACGATCCCCATCGTATCCCGGAAGACTTGTCTCCGAACCCTCAGCGAGGGAAGCTGGCCTAAACGGATCCTGGCCTGAGTACCACGCTTCAACAGCGTTGGAGTTGTATTAGTGTGACGACTGAAATATAAAATATAACAGTGTAAAGTTTTTTGGCCCAATGATACGCACGGTAGGCGATGGACAAAGACACAATTCTTTTCTCAAGTGTATTTGACTCATGCTTATGCCTATAGGTGCCCGAATCTTATGGTACGTCTCACGCCTGTCTGTTTTGATCATACGACACACAGCATCGATGTTTTTATTGTTCACAGCAGTGGACGCGACTATCACGAAATTCGTCACTGAGATTCACACGACCGCGTTTGAATTCTGCAAACCAGCTATAAATAGTCGTCTTGCATGGTGCTTCATCGCCAAAAGCAGTTTTAAGCCGAGCGAAGCTCCGCTGAGCTGTTACACTACACTTAAAGTCGTAGAAAAACATACTACGAAAATTTTCACGAGTTAAATCTATGGTGATGTAGACAACCAATTTCTAAAATGACGCCACAATGTAAAAACAAGTGACAGTCAGATGAAACAAACTGTATTCTACGGCCAAAGAGTTCTATTTTCAAATGTTGTAATTACTTTTTAAATATTGTTTATGTAAGTGGCCAGTTCCGGAAACTTATGGTGCGCCCTATGTACTCTAGCTCGCGTGATACAGCAAATAAAAGAAAAGGGTAAGACCACGCAATTACGCTCATCAGTCGCGCGTGCAATCGCGCACTCCTACGCGCGCTAGTTTCAAGCGGTCAACCTGCGCTATTAGCATTTACACGGACGCTCTTTCCGTTATAACAAAAACGAACACGAGCAATCGCACGTGAAAGAACGTTAGTTCAAAAAATATCAAACAGGTAATCGCGCACGATTGCGCGTGCAGTCTTTCCCGCGCGTAATCCTGTACGCGACTGATCACGCACGATAGAGTGCCTGAATAAAGGGGGCTATTACGTTTGCCTTTCATAATGCGTCCTCTGTGAGTCGCTGAAGAGGCACTGGAACCGGTAGGGATGATTTGCAAATAACGGGTTGAAACAGGCAGGCATATCGCCGGTGTTCATAGAGCGGCACGGATGAAGTTTTCCGGGTGGTAAACCGCATTCTGACCTCATATACAGCGAAATGTGTGAAAGTGGAAATTTAGCTTCGAAAAACTTATTTTCATTTAATTTTAGTTCAGTTCCCTTTCATTTCACTTTAATTTAATTTTCATAACTTTTGACTGATTATTATTCGGATTATATTAATTAGTTTTGACCACTTTATTCATTTTAATTGTAATTATATTTTTTGCGATGGGTCGCTGTCGCTGGAATTTATTTATTTTTTATTTATTTATTAAAGAGATCCCAGGATCGATTGCCGGTAAGATCAATTTGGGAAGTATTACTTTTCAAAATAAGTACTGGTCTAGGTGTTCTGTAGTGGCCTGTGGAAATACCTTTACTTACTCATAACACAGAAAATTCCCTGTTAATTGACGTGGGTGTCTGGCGCTTTATTATTTTTATTATAGAAGAAATTTCAACTTTTCTACCGCTATGATATAAATGAACTTCCTGCAAGGAGGCAAAAGTATATTGAATAAAATATACACTCGTGCTGGGTGCATATCGTCGGTGTTTTGTAGAAATGGCGAAAACGCCATTTCGAAAGCTTTTTCATGTTTAGTTTTTCACGACTGTTTTAAAATATTTCGAAATTTTAAACAGGACGTAAATATTTAAAAACAGTCGTTAAAACCTAAAAATTTTTTGAAATGTAACTTTCGCCCTTTCTGCAAAATACTGACGATAGTTTAATGAAAAAAAATATTATTTATTCCCTAATAACCAAAGGAGGACGCCTTTTGATACTACCAACTAGCAGCAATAAGAGCGTCTATGTAGAGTGGCACTTGAAGACACGCTGTTCATTTGTCTCCGTCCGCAAGAAGGTAACTTGGTACTACAGGATGTCTTCAGCTCAATGGAAGCAAGTTTTTGTAACAAAATAGCATAACTTTTTATCAACTGTTAACGTTTTTAACAAGTGTAAACGGGCTTTTGAAGCCACAAATACTGTTTTTACAAGATTATTTTTATTTTAAGTACATTATGAAGAAAATACGAAGAAAGAAATAGTGACGATGAAAATTAGAACTGTAGTTCTTATTTTAAACCAAACTACAAAAGATTTTATTCTGAAAATTCCACTAATTACGAATTCAAAGTTTTTGTTAATAAACAAAAATGTGATTTTAGTGAAAATGAAAACCTAAATATTGACTCCCGCCGCCTAAAAGACTATTTAAAAACCCAAACACGAGAACTAAGTTATGTAAGAGTAAGTGAAAACATAACGTATTAGAACTACAATGGAAAATATTTATTGAGGATCCCGATAATTAAACGAAGACACGGCTCAAAGGACTTGTATCCATATACGTATATACGATTATACGAGTTAGGTAATCACGTTCCCGCCAAAGTATAATGTTCGAGAAAAAACCTACTTCCATCTCAAGTTGTTTATTATTATTGGAATTTCATTCGTATTACTTTCGCCTCTTAATAATGAAACTTGTTAACTATTCTGACGGCAAACGTATCATCAAAAAGTTAACTATTAGAACTAAGCTTATATTAAATAGATGAAATAAGATCTCCGCAAGGTACTGGCAACACCAATGGAATAAATAATAAGGAATATTGCGATTTGCAACATTGATTCAATGAGCAAACCCAGGCAATGATAGTGTAAGTAATGTCTTCTAGTGTACTTTGGAATCTTATCAGCCCTCGCATTTACGTAATGGTGAATCGTAGCGAATTGGAGTAATATTTGCCCAATCTCAAATGTTACTTCGTTGCGGACTTTGGGGAATTCACGAAACAGTAAATGGGTTTCTTCATTCAGAGAAATCTGTTGACTGGATTCAGTAAAAACTGTTATAGATATTCTGTTTATATTGTAATGATTCTATTTCTCGAATCGCAATTCAACCTTATGTTTGGTTTATTTATTATTGTTGACGTGCTTATTTTATCATTTATTCATTGTTTGTCTAAGGTTTACCCTTAGAATAATAACGCATAGAATGATAGTTTCATATCAAACGAACTGTCACAAGTGAGGCAAAAATCAAATTCATGTAGGCTAGTTTTAGTAGTAGGTTAATTTTCGGTTTTAGTGAATATTTATATAAAAATACAAGTTGAAACGCGTTACTTCCTTGTGGAATGTGATGTTAGTATCTATTTTATGTTTGTCTGACGTATTTTTACACTCATTTACCGCACATTTCGTCATTTTTAGCTAAAATTCTTGATCTGTTCGCGTTGCAAGTTGACCTTGAGCACTGAAGGCCCGCCCGCTCGTGTAGGCCCTTTTGGCGCGCTTCAATTTGCCTCACTTAGCGTATGCTGACTAGGTTTCTATGCGTTATTATTCTAAGGGTTTACCCGTATACTATGGAAACCAAAGGACATGTTATATTGAAGTATGTAAATCAGACGTTATATGTATATGATGCATTTAGACGTTGAAAACATAAACATTTTATTGTCTTTGTTTAACTACTGCGTGACGTCGTAAGCCAAAAGAGATAGAACTACATTCATTTATGTCAAACACGGGAATCGAAAATACGTAACGTTATCTTAAATGCCAACTGTCCTCATTTTGAAATTTTTGTAGTACACTTTGATAACCGTTTCCGGTTGTCAAAGGGAAGTACATCAAATGTCAAAACCAATATTTGGCCAAATGTTTTAGTGAATTATTCGCATAAATTGTAATGAAATGAACAAAAATATTGACAGTGAGAACAATTAAGTATTGATAAAAAACGTCGCTGCAGCATTAAGGGGTGCGGAAATCGGAAATCAACTTTAAACTTTAAATGATTGTTGACAACGATTATTTTGAGATAGTGTTGTTCTAGTAAACAGACATATTATCGATATTCTGTTATTACAACAATTCGCTACGAGGTTTTCATTATTCCATTATTATTATTTTTAAACTTTACCTACAAATGAAAAAAGAAAAGAATGGTTGGAAATTATAGGACTGCCGAACATAAGCATTGGATCAAATACCGTCGTCGTTTGTTCGCTCCATTTTAATGACACTTTGAATGTAACTAGATTATGTATTTATTTACCAATAAATGTAACGATGGAATTGCATTATCATATGATAATGCTATTCCATCGTTACATGTATTGGTAAATAACTTTATATTTAATTTTGATTAAAATGGCTCATAACTTTCCTAGTAATAATCGCCTAGTGTTAATCATACTTTGATTACAGTAAAGTATACAAATTTGCAAAGATAAAAAACAGTTTCAACATTAAAGTCACACATTTGCATGTCGACTTATCTATGATTATGGTACAACACTAAATCCGCCATTTGTGATGGACATTTTTGGTTTAGGTAGGTACGCTTATTCCCTAGATATGGCAGCTCCTTTCCTTTATTTTTTTCCATCCTCTAAGGTAAACCCTAAAAAAATAAGGTTTACGTATTCATTTTGACATGAATTGGTTTTTAATTTAAGTATTACTACGTTTTGATGGCTCTGTAGTCAATGCTCAATTTTTTTGCATAAATTTTCACCCATTTATTTTCTCTAGGCAAAGTTACTACCATATAGCCTCATCATGTATTAGTATCTTTAATGCAAAATTGAACATCATAGTAAAACGACAAATAAACCAAACTAAAGCGAAACTCGTAGTCATAATTAGGTTTTATAAGATATGTATGTCACATTGGATCAAATTATTTATTACAAATCACTACAGTAGTATTGTAAGTTGTAATTGGAGAGGATTTAATATCCTTTTGTACAAACATGTACCTTATTTGCAGTTTATTAACTAAATTTAAGGTAAATCCATTCGACAGTTTGAATGACAAACATACCATACAATTGGCAGTTATTTTAAATTCTAAAAATATACAAAGTTTTATTAACACGTCATAAATTTTGATTTAAAGTTTAATGATTTTCACATATTACTTGGTTTTTATTTCGGGACTTAATCATGTAAAAAAAATTATTTTAATTACATCGATGTTTCGGACGTATTGCAATGTCCATGGTCTCGAAGAGATTGGTGTCACAAATTTGAAATAAAATTTAAAAAAAACAATTGTAATCCATTTCCCGTTGTTACGGGAAATAAATTAGAATTGTTTTTTTTTTATTTAATCAAATACCCTTTGATAACCGTTTCCTGTTGTCAAAGGGAAGTACATCAAATGTCAAAACCAATATTTGGCCAAATGTTTTAGTGAATTATTCGCATAAATTGTAATGAAATAAACAAAAATATTGACAGTGAGAACAATTAAGTATTGATAAAAAAACGTCGCTGCAGCATTAAGGGGTGCGGAAATCGGAAATCAACCGAATGTTACATTACACTGGCATTTGTTATTTTTCTGCTTGAATTAGCTTTGGTTACTTTAGATTGCCTGTTTATTAGTATATTTTGATGATTGTTGACAACGATTATTTTGAGATAGTGTTGTTCTAGTAAACAGACATATTATCGATATTCTGTTATTAAAACAATTCACTACGAGGTTTTCATTATTCCATTATTATTATTTTTAAACTTTCCCAACAAATGAAAAAAGAAAAGAATGGTTGGAAATTATAGGACTGCCGAACATAAGCATTGAATCAAATACCATCGTCGTTTGTTCGCTCCATTTTGAAGGCACTTTGAATGTAACTAGATTATGTATTTATTTACCAATAAATGTAACCATACATTTATTGGTAAATAACTTTATATATCATTTTGATTAAAATGGCTCATAACTTTCCTAGTAATAATAGCCTAGTATTAATCATACTTTGATTACAATAAAGTATACAAATTTGCAAAGATAAAAAACAGTTTCAACATTCAAGTCACACATTTGCATGTCGACTTATCTATGATTATGGTACAACACTAAATCCGCCATTTGTGGTGGACATTTTTGGTTTCGGTAGGTACGCTTATTCCGTAGATAGGGCAGCTCCTTTCCTTTATTTTTTCCATCCTCTAAGGTAAACCCTAAAAAAATAAGGTTTACGTATTCATGACATGAATTAGTTTTTAATTTAAGTATTACTACGTTTTGATGGCTCTGTAGTCAATGCTCAATGTTTTTTTCATAAATTCTCAGCCATTTATTTTCTGTAGGCAAACTTACTACCATATAGCCTCATCATGTATTAGTATCTTTAATGCAAAATTGAACATCATAGTAAAACGACAAATAAACCAAACTAAAGCGAAACTCGTAGTCATAATTAGGTTTAATAAGATATGTATGTCACATTGGATCAAATTATTTATTACAAATCACTACAGTAGTATTGTGTGTTGTAATTGGAGAGGATTTAATATTGATTTTAGAACTTCCTTTTGTACTAACATGTACCTTACTTGCAGTTTATTTAACTAAATTTAAGGTAAATCCATTGAACTGTTTGAATGACAAACATACCGCTCATTTGGTGCTACAGATATGAAAAAATTGGCAGTTATTTTAAATTCTAAAAATGTACAAAGTTTTATTGACACGTCATAAATTTTGATTTAAAGTTTAATGATTTTCACACATTATTTGGTTTTTATTTCGGGACTTAATCATGTATAAAACTTATTTTAATTACATCGATGTTTCAGACGTATTGCAACGTCCTTGGTCTCGAAGAGATTGGTGTCCCAATTCTAATAAGTGTCTAATTTATTTCCTGTTGTTACGGGAAATAAATTAGAATTGTTTTTTTTATTTATTTTATTTTATTAAATAACAAGGTTTCACTAAATGAGCGTTTTGTACTACATAAATTATAATTAGCGAAAAGTTACAGAGTTGAAAATAAAATTAATTAAGGTGTAAATAAGGTTACGATAATATTAGCGCTAAATAAAATCCACCTCTGGTTTCACTTCGGTTTAATTGAGGTTAAATTCAATATTATTCCATTGGTTCATTATCGGATCAAGACTGAGCTGCTCGCCCATACCACGGATCTTTTACGATTTTCATTGAGGTGGCAGTGTGAAGTTAGGCGTGAATAACACAACGCGATTCGAAATGCCACTTAAGTAGTCAATACGACAACTAAATAATGCGCGAAATTCGGTGCGAATACCATAGTGGTACTAAAATAATCAACAGAATAACTAAATGGATAAAGCGTAACAATAATTCGAGCAATACATCCTACACCCCTTTTCAATTTAACACAGGTAATATCAGCTGAGCTGGTAAAAGAATTATAAGTAAAACTGCCTATTTACAGCCTTTGGAGTTTTGGAGGAGACCCTTGGTCCGTGGGGTTTCGTAGCCCTTCATCTGTACAAAATGTTATCAAAAAATTCATAAACTATCTGGGGAACCCAAGGTAGACAGCTACCTTGGACACCACATTAGCATAGCCATACAAAGGGGGAACGCTGCCAGTATCTTGGGCACCTTGCCGCGGGGATATAATTTTATTCTATCTTACCTATAAATTTTAAGTTATTGTCTTATAATACTATTGATAAGAAAGAAATATTTCCTCGATATGACTGAACTCGACCAGGGTCTTTTGCCAAAATTAGGCAAAGACCGTGTCAGCAGATCTTTCGAATTTCTCTATGTGAATTCATCCAGTCAGATCGTAGCAATTTGTCTTTCTTCTTTTACCTTTGTGTCAATAATCGTTAAAAATAGTGGTTAAAAACCAAAAACAAAGCTAAAAAATTCATAAGGCCTGCCGAGGCTTTATGAACGAACCGGCGGCGGCGTTCGGTCCGTCGCTTAACTGGCTGAGCATCTGGCACGGATTGCCTTATTCACATGCAGATTTGAATCAATAACTATCTATTTTAGTATTTTCACTCAAATATCATGATAGTTAGTGGACGGAAATATTTAACATATTAATAACTTTTGAGACCTTCTTCACCCTTCAAAAGCATTTAAATTCCACCGTGCATGAACAGCACCGGCACCGTGTATAAACAGTCCAATTGATATTTTAAAAAGTACAGATCGTCTTTAGAAAGAGAAGTTTTTCTACTAAAAATATGAATAAGTCTTAATAGCGATAAGTTCCCTACCGATTTGTGCTTGAAGACAAAATTTGGAAAAAAATTGCGAATTTCCAAAGTTCCCTCTTAACACATGAAGAATTTCAGAATCCATTAATGTATCACGCTTCTTTATAGCTCGTTAAATAATTGAACTTTTCACTTTCTATTCAGTGGATCAGAAACTGTTATTTTAACTTTCAAAGAGAATTTTCCTAAGCAAATTCAATCTTTTACTTTGAAAGAACCGAGTCACCTATATAATGTAACCCAATCTGTCGAGCAATTCGGATAGGGGCCAAGGGGATTAGCTTTCAATAAAACTTTATATTAAATCAAATTCACAAAGATTTGCGAATAAGTTTAGATAGCTTTTGGTTTTTAAAGTTATCAGCGATGTTTGTACTCGAAATTTCAATATTACTATTTAAATCTTAATAGTGCATGTTGAATTTAGAAGGCGAACTTTCTAAATGATCTCTTGTTTGAATCCAAAAATAACATAACTCTTTTAATTAAATTTTTATTGAATTGATATTCAATTATTTTTTGTGAAAT